CAGAGTCTCTATGGTGCTACTTCACTCTCTTCTTTATTCTCTCTTCATTCCTTTACCACTACCTTACTATTCTCTTCCAGGTACCTACACAGACAGGAGTCATGGCAGTTCTCTAAACCTCCCAGCAACCCGTAGCTCCTTAATCACTCTACAAATTACAACCTGCTAACCCACAAAACATCCACCTCACCGAAGCTAAAAGCAAGAAAGCAGAGGGGATTTCCTCGCCCACTGCAGGAGTAAACCGAACAACTGGAACCAAGCCCTAAGAACTAGACGCGAGAGATCAAAAACTACTAGTTTTCTACGCTCGCACTATCAATATTGGATATTGGATCCTGCAGAGACTGAAGGATACGCTGGATTCAAAACTACGACCGGAACAGGCTGGATTCAGGAAGTAAAAATCATGTGCGGATCAAATTGCGATGCCACGCATCATTATAGAAGAGAGCATATAATGACAGTCAACTCTCTACCTCAACTTCATTGACTTTGAAAAAGCCTTCGATAGCGTGGACCGATAAGTAATTTGGCCGGCTGCTGCTTCAACACTATGGAGTACCATAAACCTCTACCAGCCTTATTCTATAGATAGATGATGATGCTATGTGACGAGGTCAAGTGCTTCAAATGCGAAGCTGAATGATGCCTTTGAAGTGAAGACAGGAGTAGGTAAGGCTGCCGCCGACCATCACCCATGATCTCCCTGATTGTAGTGGATCGAACCAGACTGGATCATGCTACAAACCCTGAGGGGCGAGAGGAGAGGGATAAGCTGTTTGACTGATGAAAAACCTTAGAAGGCTTGATTTCGCCAAGGATGATGATTTGTGTCTATGTTGTCGGACGAACTGGAAGACCTACAGACAAGTACCAGCAAGTCGGCAAAACAGGTGAAATAGAGAACGCGATACTTCAAGTGAACGTAGATGAAGATACCCAACCAACAACAACAAGCACCAATCACCACTAGCCGGAGAAACCTGAAGGAAGTAGTCTTTTTCATCTACCTAGGCAGCATCTTTTCAACTGCGAGTGGCACAGATGAAGATGGCAAGGCCAGGGTTGGAAAAGGAAGACAGGCCTTCAATTACCTGAAACCAGTGTGGAGATCTACCGTACTCAGCATAAACAACAAGATCCGGATTTTCAACACTAATTCATTCAAGTCAGTGCTGCTATATGTTACAGGAACTTAGCGCGTCACGAAAAGCATCCCCAACAAACTACAGACATTCGCCAACACCTGCCGCCTTTGTCCACTCGATAATGAAAACCAGGTGACCAGGAATAATAAGCAATAAAGAACTCTGGGAACGAACCAACCGAAAACCCATCGCCTAATAAATATGCAGAAGGAAGTGGAGATGGATTGGCCACCCCTGAGAAGACCATTCGGAGGTACCACGCACCAGGCCCTCGAGCGGAAACGAAATGAGAAACGATGAATAGGACGTCCGAGAGTGACATAGAGGAGATCATATGAGGAAGAAACGAAAGCTTACGAGCGGTGGTGGAGCCGGGTTGAAAAGATTGCAGAGAACAGAGTGGAATGGAGATGTGCTACTAAAGCTTTATGTTCCTCTGGGAACCCAAGGGACAGATAATAATAATAATAATATATCAGTCCCAGACCGACAGTCCTGTGGGAACCCTATTTGCATATCCCGCCATGAAGCAAAGACGGCGGTTAAATCCAACTTTTTCTCCCACCGATGATGTGCCTTGCGGAGCGCTCTGCCGAAGGAAGTAGCCGCAGCTAAACCAGTCGACTCCTTCAAACGACCACTGGATGAGTGCGTAGGAGAAAATGGCTTAATACTAACACTTGTCAGTAGTCACCGATGCTTTGCCCTTCCATCCCTGTATTCCCCAGCCCTCTGTCTACAATAAGACGCATCCCTTCTCTATATCATAACCACTAACATTTATCTTTCTGTGAGTACTGTTCATCAATCACCTACCCTATTTCTAGCAATTTTTGAGTGACACTTAGTACTTACTTGCAGGTGCTTAGAAAAACAGGAATTGCGAACGGTTAGTTGATTTTATCAACAGCTCCATTGCTACTCTCGAAAACAAACCAAGCTACAGTTTGCAAACAAATAGACAATTACTACTTCCAAAGCTATAGGCAGAAAAAAGCAAATACTTCTGTGACCATCGAAGGAGTACAACCAAAAAGGAACCGAGCCTCAGGACCCAGAAGCGAGAACTTAAAAGCTGCAAGTTTCCTCTACTCGTACCCTTACCGCTATAGCTCAGGTTGCTGCAGCTGTAGCGCTATTTATCTCATTCGATCATATGCCTTGGACCTGTGAGAAGCTTTGGGCATTCTTCTGCGTCGTACAACTTGGCAGTCCTAGGTAAGGTTGATAGCTTACTTTATCTATCGTTGCTTTTCTACGTTTCACTTGGTACAACCATCTGTGTACCTCATTTTTATCTCCCTAATCACCACCAGAAATGAGTAATAATCGAGTCTTACCAAATCTGGTATCAGGAACATCTCAGGCAAAGCCTCACCCCAGCTACAAACCTTCCCCATCAGTGGTAGTAACGAGGGCCAGAGGCGAAAAGCTTATTGCCGCCGCAGAAGATCACGGGTCGACCTTAGGAGAACGGTTGCTGCAACCACCTCCTGGGACAAGTCGAATTCCTGTCCCTGTGAACCCTTGTGATGTGGTTCATCAACGAGCCTGTCTTTCCGGTGCCACCAGCCCAAACCCTAGTCTGCCTGTGAAGGCTACCACCGAGAGACAGAAGAGAAGGAAAAGAAAGTCGTTAACTAAACCTTCTAGTCAGGCTGACGACTGCCATACATGTGGTCTCACCGTGGCCAAGAGGGAGTGCTGCCTTTGAGTGTAACATCTGCAATAAGTGGGTGTACAGTCAGTGTGACGAGGACATACCAGACCAATATTACACCTTCATGGCGCGCTACCCATGCACGTGGTTCTGGTACATTTGCCCACAGTGCCGTATAAGGCCACTCTTTTCTGGAAGCTCTCTGATGAAGGTCGTAGAAGACGTCGCAGTGACTACTGTGATGCCGGCACCCACACAGACCACTACCCCAGGCACAAGCAGCAAGAGTGTCAGCATTGTACCCCAGCCAGTTACACCGGTGAATAGTCCAAAAAGAACAAAACGGTTACTGGGTACGCGACCAACTACATTCGTCCCTAATCCTGAAGCCACTTTAGAGGCTTACCCCATTGCGAAACGGGAAAAATGGGTGGTAGTGGAAAAGAAGGTGCACCCTTCCCACGAAAAGCCACCCACAGCACGCGAAAAAAGAGCTGATGACAGGTCGAACTCCATCATCTTATTTAACGTCCCTGTGTGCCATGATGGTCCCCTTGAGAGCAGAGAATCGTTTGACAAGCAGCAATGGGAAATCGTATACACCACACTAGGACCGGGTAGCCTAGAGGCAAAACTGTGCAGGCTCTACAAAGGCAACCACCCACCCCAGGGAGAGCCTCCGCCAATGAGAGTTACCCTAGGCTCGGCTAAAGAAGCGGAAAGATTCTTGCTGATGTCACACACACTAGTCATCAACAGGTCATCCAGCATTACAGCCAGACCAGACCGCCCTTGGTCAGCAAGAAAAATATGTCGCGAGGCGCCCCAAACGCTGAAACCAACAACTATGGTTGTCCATGGCACACCGGAACTGACAACCGGCACAGTTGTAGAAAAGTATGCTCACGACGTCCAGCAATGGCAGTGGTTGTTAGCGAGGATGGGGCTAAATGGAGCAGCAGCGGCGGCTGTCTGCAGACTGCCACGCCCCTCACATTTGACGACGATAACAGCACTCCGGTTGATGGCTGTTAACTTCGGCTGTCAAGAACTTTTAACCAGTGTATTGCAGACTTGGTACCCAATGAAAGATAACATCAGTGGGAACGTTTGCTGCTGTGAAAGCAGGCCTAGGACGCTGCGACAACAGCAAATGGCAGCAGCGCCCACCGCCGAAGTCACCATCACTGCCAGCAGACAAGATGCACAATCAACTATGGACTCTATGAAACACCCAGAAACCATTGTGGGAAAAAACGTGGTTGGGCCGGTTCCACTGGAGTCATCCGAACAGGGGAATCCTAACGAACGGCCACTATGGCGATCCTCGTGGCAACCCAAGGAGGATCGCTCACCAAAGAGCGAAAACCCGTGTGCGATCACACTTCTTCTCTCTGCGAGTTTGAGCCACTGGAACGCATTGCCCGCCGAGATTGCTACTGCTCCGCTTGTTGACAGCTTCAAGAAGAGGTTGGACAGCTACGCAGCGACGCACGATTTGCGCTTATCCAACTGGGATGTGGACTAGGTTAACACGACTTACTAACTCGGTACGACCAACCGTTGCTGAACACTTAGTAAAACCAACATCACCGAGAACTCGGCTTAACCTTATACCTTCCTGTGGACGTCCCCCCCAGTTACCGTCCTCTACTAAAAGAATTACCACATCCCCATTCGTCCTATAATGTTATTTATTCTTCTTACTTTTGACTTAAAGTTCTCGAACTTTAACGAAAGCTCTCCCTATCATCCATTCCCCATGAACCTACCAATGTTTATTCTAACGTGCCGTTTCCTTTTTACTAACCTTTTTTAAAATATATATCATTCTTCTTCCTTTTTTCCTTTTCTTTTTCTATTTTGTCTCTCTCTGCACTGATTTCTCTGCACACATCTTTCATCTCCTTTTTACAACCAGTCTGACCAACTGTCTGCTGGCACGACATTTGAGGAACCCATCTGCACCACAGTCCTCGGAAGAAAAAGTAAACAAACAAACAACACTCCCTACAAATCTAAACAACACCCAACCGTCCGTAGGGCTAACCAGAGCTACAGTAGTCGAGTGGGTAGACCTACTGCATTGGAATCCACCAAAGACCTGGAACCGTTCCGCAAGACCTAGAAGCGAGCGCGAAGAAACCAATTGGTTTACACTAGCTGGTTAAAAGATATTGGATATTGGAATGTCAGATGTCGGAGGAGCGTTTTTCTGTTTGGCGTTACGTGTTATGTAAGCCTTTTTCTTAAAATGAACACTTATAGAGTATCAGTGTGTCTGTAGTATTACTGCTCTCTACACGTGCTAATAGACATCTATAATTTTTAGGTCTGATTATAGGCTGTAAAAATGGTGAACTGAACCACTTGTATTTTCTAGACACATCTCAGCTCGGTTAGGGGATTGTACTTGAGATCAGATCTTTGGTTAAAGAAATTATTCCCGTTGCCTCAAAAGTTGCACGCTCTATTAGTTTTAAAATTTTTTCCACCATTTCTGTCATGCATGCCTCAGATCCAGTAACTTGACCTCGTGTTTGCCCAGGGTTTATGTTGACTTTGTTTCTTTTCATTAACTTGGAAGGATAGGTGTGAGTGCAATATGACTTTTTATACTACACGAATGTGTTTATAAGTGAAGTATGCATTTGTTGCAACGTAGTGCATGGTTTCTTATTTCGGGACAAGCATAGTAGGCTAGTTATGAAGGTAATTACCTTTATTGATCCTTGCGTTTGGTAACAATGTGACTGTCCAATCTCACTTCAAAAGTAGTGACTAAACGTTTAGTTACTGTATACCCTGACGGGAAATCCTCTCGCTGTACGGCTTGTTACGAGAAACAAATTTCCAGAAGGAAGACTCTTAGCTGTTTATAACTTCATAGTTATCGATTCTCAAGTGACTGGCTTGAAAATCTTCATCATTTAAAACCAACTTTTCTTATCGCAAGCTTATTGGTGGGAATCAGGTCAGTCACTTCTCTTAGGAGAAGCTAAAAGCGTGTCGACCATCTTAGTCCCTTTTAGCTAGTCTCGTTCTTTTTTATGATCAGTATTTGAAGCATTGGCTTTCTACTTAAATCACGTACTGCAACTGATGTCATACATGTTTCGGACTTAAGATTTGCAATACTTCCATTTCAAAAGCTCTGGAAGGTTCTCCTTAAGGATCAAAAGATTTAGAAAATTTAGGCAGCTACTGTCGTACAATTTATTGCAGTTTTAAAAATCTTGGTTAACGATGGCTTCTAAATGCTTAGGACAAAATCACGACAGCAGTCGAGTGACTAAGTGAAACATCGGGGCCTATCCACGTGGAAACCATCTAATTGGGATTTATTTCCAGTAACTATCTTGTGGATCAGCCTACTGGGATACGTAAGGAATATTCCTGCCTACTCACTATATACATTGCCGTTCACAGTCGTTTTGTTCGCAAAGAGAACAGAAAACCTGTGTTTCAAACCTGGAACGACACAAAGCCGTATGACCTGACGCTTTTTCTTTCGAAGTTTTGAAAATGGAGGTAGAAAATTAATAATTAGAGTAATGGAAGTACTAGGTAGCATATGGAACCCAAAGGTAGTCCTATCGAACTGGTCTACTTCATTGATCATTTCACTCTATGTGAAGAGAGTTAACATCCCCCGTATATGGAATCCACGCACAAAATAGAAAATTGGTCTGATACTAGGTGATATGGCTCAAAATCAATCTCTGGTGCAGATGTATCCACACATTATCCTCATCTTAGTCATCATGCTGAATTCAGTATTTTCTTATTCCTCCTTCCTTTCGTTTACTGCTTTCCATTGACTATTCTCTGTCCCTTTATCTTTCATTTCGGTACTTCTTTGGTTGATGTGCTAATATGTGTGGTAACTTGAACCGTTATGCTGTAATGTCTGGTCCCATGCTGATATTGATGACGATGATACAAGAATTAAGCTTGTGATAACAAGAGAGAATAATATCGTGCCCAAGATCGTAAGGTTCAAAGTCATCGAGCACCTAACTGCAGCTCGATATCAAGAAACTCGAGAAAACTAGGCAGGTTTGAGACCTAAACGAGTATTCATCGGTTAGGTTTTCACCCTTTGACAGGTTCTGGAACGCATGCATATTTACCGGCGATCGATACTTCTCATATCTGTCGACCTGAAGACGGTATTTGACTCTTTCCGCCGTGAGGTGATGTGACAATGTCTGACTGTAAAGAGAGTACCGGGGAAGTACATAGTGCTTATCAAAACTCTATTGAAACTCAAAAAACTGTAAGAGCTTATGCATAGTTTTCGTCTGAATTAACGCAACTAGTGGTGTTCGCCAGGCATGCCCGCTGTCGCGTCTCTGTCTAACCTCGTTATAGATCTATTGGTGGATATGACCAGGTATTTCTGACTTCACTGGGGTTGATCTACTCCTTAGAGGGAATATGGTTGACTTACAGTACGCAAATGGTATTGTCCTACTCAGTAAAGATGTTGGTAAGATACAGTCTTTCGAACTCGTTGTCAGACATAGTATATTGTTTAGCATGTATTTCACACCTGTTAAATGTAAGATGGATGCTCTAGCACTGGTCTGCTACCAATCCCAGTTTAATAGTGGGGAGTGAAGTGGGGGAATGCATTGACCACTTTACTTATCTGTGTTGTGTCAGCTCGAGTGGGCTGGTTGCTGACGAAATCTCAACTCAGATGCAGAAAACCCGTTTAGAAATTTCCAACTTGTGTCACCGACTGGCGAGATATCTGACTACCTATCAAAGGAAGAGTATACTACACTGCATTCCTTTCTATCTATGGCCGTTAAAGTAGATATGAAGTAGTTAGAGGGTTTTCGATCACAAGTGTCTTCGAGGCGTTGCTCGCGTTTAATGAAATCATCCTGTGAGCAATGCTGAAGTCAGGCGAAGGGCACCAGGCAAAACAGGCAAGTCGGTTGATGAAGCTGTGAACCTTAGTCGACTGAAATGGACTGGACATGTAGTGCGCATGCCGAGCCTCCACCAACCTCGACGTGCCGTACTAAAGTAGGCTGGATTATGTTGAAAGAGAGCGTTCAGGGTGGCCAGACCTAGAGAGTCGATGAAGTTCCTGATTGTTGGTCTGAACTGCCTGAGGAGATGTAGAACACCTTAATGGGGTCCCCAAGATGAAAGGAATCAGTGGTTGAGAAGTCTTGGTGATATGGCTGGAAATTAGTCACAGTGGCGCAGATGTATTCACTCCTTGATATCTTTTAAAGCTTGAATATTTGCACTAACCGTCATCTTCAAATTGTCCGTTCTCTCAAAACACTTTGTCTACTTTGATATTATTCTTTTCCTATCTACTTGTTCTACTTATACTATTGTGAAGTGTGGGAACTTGGACCGATGCACTTGTGTGCAAGGTTCTACTTTGATTTTGTCTATCTGACATACCGCATATTTTGCCAAATATTGAACCATCCACTGTTAGACTTGAGTTCAGACAAACAAATTAGCGAAAAACATTAACAGTGCGTTAAAACATTTAACACCTTAAATATATGTGGTATATTTAGTAGAAATATGTTATCGAAGTAACTAGGTGTCATGGAATATATTTCTAGTTTTTTTCCCGTGGACTACATTACTATTCTTTAGTGGTTCTACCTATCGACAATTGGACATAGTTTTATAAATTTAAAAGATTAGTGTGTTATTGATAAATGTAAAGCGGAAGTGTCTTGCGATAGTTATATACCATTAGACGGCGAAGAGTATTTTTCATGCTATACTGTGCAAAAGTCAGACTGCTGATTTTGTCCTTTTATCATAAACAGTTTTCCAAACCGTTTGAGAAAATAGAATACAAATTCAATGTAGTTTGTGGTCTGTTCATCTTGGTGACTAGCAGCGGAACCCAAAGCGCTCGTTTCATCCTAGTTTGAGCTCATCAGCCGGATATAAGTGCACCCTAGTGAATGATGTCTCCACTGAGACGCAATCTTAGTACCCATCGCTTCAAATGCCAAAGCGTTATCTACTGGGGCACGAGGGCCATGACTTTTTTAACGGGTATTCGGTGTTGTTCACTTGTATCATTTACTCACCGATGTTATTAGTTGTTTCTTTTTCAGTGAATATTTCAATTTTTCTCTTTGAGTGTTCAGAGTGAATAGGGGCAACGTTGAGTAATAATTTTTTTGTTTGTACTACTTTTACATTCAGCTTTATGGATTTCGAAAGTGTACTGCTCGTTAAAAATGAAGTGTTCGTTTATCAGATCCCTCCAAGGCAATCGAATCGAGGATATAGAGCCAGTGACTGGAACCTAGAAGCACCTATGTGGACTGGAAGACTGCGTGTTGTTTCTAAGGGGAAAGACCTTGTCATACGACTGGAAGATAAAAATTCTGGACAGTTATATGCAAAATGTCCTGTGGACTCATTCCCTGGAATATTTGTCGAACCAGTTCTGGACTCAAGTCGATATTTCGTTATCCGACTTGTTAACGACGATGGACGGAGTATGTTTACGGGAATCGGTTTTGCAGAACGGTCAGATTCTTTTGATCTTAATGTTGCTATCCAGGATCATTTTAAGTGAGTTGACTTGTTAATATTTGAATTTTCAGGTATTGTGTACCGCGCCTCAAATTAAATCCGGCTACATCGTATGGTCTTATGGGTAAATAAGTGTTGCATAGCTGTACTCAACTTTACTATTTTCCGGTAATCACACATTGGCTTATCGAGTGTTTTATAATCTCCCAGGTTGAGAAAAATAAAAACCTTTGGGTTAAAATAATGGAATCAAACGAGCATATTAGGAGGTTTCTACTATTTTGTCTACTATTGAACAACATGAAAAGGCATCCATGTTGATTTGCTAGCTAGTTCAAAGTGATTTAAATATGGAATGACTGCTTCACTTGTTTATAACCAAGCTCATCACAAATGTTGTCAAAAATGTCTAGCTTACAAAGAGGCCGTATTTTTCAAATCAGTGGGATTCGTCTATCTAACTTAGATAGACCAATATACCATAAAATAGATGATCAGTTTGCAAATTATTTACACTTGGCTGGCAATACTACAGAAGTGTGAGTAGTTCACCACTGTTCGTGTTGTCCTGTTGTACATTTCATTAGTTAATGATAATTTTCTATCAAGGATCACTCTATGATTTTGACTGATTGGTTTTGAGCAGAAACCGTCTTGACACCTTAGTTCACCAATTAAGAAACTACTCGGTCGTGGGAGATACGAAAATAAAATTTACAATTTATAAGCTGCTTGCGAATCGACCGTGCACTGGTTTTTATTTTAAGAAAACGTATTACTATTGTTTTATAATAACGTGAGATGCATAAAATAAAAACCAGTTTTAACTTGTGTATCATAGATTATCCACTTTGAAACTACCTTACTGACCTATACTAGTTACTCATAGTGTATTGATAGTCATACAGTAAGTTGAATAAAATTCCTCTAATTCGTCAGTGCAACACTTGTCAGACAAACAAAGTCAAAGTAGAACCTTGCACACAAGTGCATCGGTCCAAGTTCCCACACTTCACAATAGTATAAGTAGAACAAGTAGATAGGAAAAGAATAATATCAAAGTAGACAAAGTGTTTTGAGAGAACGGACAATTTGAAGATGACGGTTAGTGCAAATATTCAAGCTTTAAAAGATATCAAGGAGTGAATACATCTGCGCCACTGTGACTAATTTCCAGCCATATCACCAAGACTTCTCAACCACTGATTCCTTTCATCTTGGGGATCCCATTCAGGTAGTTAACATCTCACGCGACCCAGACCAACAGTTTGGGATCTTATTGACTAGTGCCACGCCTTGGTCTGGAGCAACATCTATTCTCTGTTTTGTTATTGAAAACGAATTGTAATGTAAATTAATTTTGGATACCAGCAAAGTTCATTAGTATTTCACTAACAAGTTGTATGCAAAAAGTTCAATTTGCATAATACTTACTCTGTTCACTGATATTTTGCATATAGTCCACAAAGTTCTGGTTGAGAAAACATTTCATCGATCGAGTGATTATGCAATGTAGTATGACCTGTACACCTTAACTACTAATTGGTACCGAGTACGAATAGTCGCTTGTTATGTACGTGCGTGTAGGAAGAACAACTTGACAAATAATATCACTTTCTGTGTATAAAGTGATCTAAATAACTGCTTTATTCAATACTCTTCAGCATTTGTTGTTGATGAAAGGATTGCTCTATGGGATGGGGGCAGTGTCAACGTCTTTGAATTGATTCAATAATTCAAAGTAATTTTCGGCATGTGTTGGTGTCAGTTGGACTGGACAATTTACGGTCACTGACAATTTATTACCAACCAAGATGTTAGTATTGTGTCTATGGAGTTTGATTCCTCACATTTTGTAGTGTCGTTAGTTAGATAAAATGGGGTGTGTAGATCATTCTTCCTTCTGAATATGGGTACTTGTTACGTTTTTGGAGACCCACGTTGAATTCACCAGATTTTGCCTACTTTAGTGGTTGATGGTAGCTGACACTAGGATTTAGGATACACATTTTGTCCCGTTTGGCATGTCAGTCAAACGTATTTTTATCTTAGTGTCTTCATTTCCACTGAGATTTGAGTTCATTACCCATGGCTTCAAACTCCAGAGCGTCGCCCGTTGGGTTGCTGAGTTACAGCAGCCATTCGTTCTAACTGATGTTAGGAATGTGATGAACTTGAATAAGAATCGCATATGGTGCGATTTTATGCTCTATTGGTTTAATAGGGGGCTATTTCGTGTGATAGTTACACGGAACTTCTGAAAATTTTGTTAGCGAGAGATGATATTACAGATTCGTCTTGAAAATTCGGATACAGAAATGTGAAGGAAGTACTACTGGAATACAAAGTGAAGTTATATGTCGGAATTTTATTCTCGTGTTTTACGTAGGTTTGAGAAACGTATTTTGTACATATCATTTCAAGATTATGAAGTATGTGTCTGTAAAAGGTGTCACTGCTTACCATGACTTTGAAGAGAAGCTCCATTAGAATGATAAATAAGGACTCGACAGCACGCACTTGTGTGCTCTTTCGTGACCAACCAGTGTACCTCATTTAGTCCTACAAGAGGTCAGTCGTGATATGAATATCTCATTGGTAAAACCTTTGACTCCAGCACTAGGTGACTCGCATTCTAACCCCTCGAAGGGCATCAGTTCCCTCGAGGTTGCAGATACGCTTTTCTGACTATTGCCAACAAGCATGAGACTTAGTTCCAGGGCTTACTACCAATTGTTTGCAACCACCTGACAATGGTAAATTATGGATGCTTTTCTCCTTCCCTGATTTTCATGGATATATAATCTTACAAAATGTCTGTGGAGCATTCTTGCTATAAGCTATCAAAGAAACATTTATTTGTTAAGCGTAGAAACCCCCTTACAATATTAAAGGACTTTTCATATCTTACTTACAGATGGTTAAAACAGGAAAAGGAAGCTGAGGAAATGGAGAAAAATGCAACCGATCAACCAGCCATAAATATGGGATTCAAACAGGGCGAAAAAATTAAGCTGAATCTCAATACAAAACGTACTGGGGATGACCCGAGTTCCAAATCAAAAGTTTCACGTCCAATTGGTGTTTCATTATCTAGTGGTTTACTTCCCCCTCCACCACCCCCGGCTACTTCTCGGTCTCGTGGTAGTCGTACTGTTGTTGAAACTGTAACTGCTCCAGTATCTACGGATTTGCTGAACGATAATTCGTTACAATCGAACCATACGAATCCTATGTGCACATCTAGTGTAAGTGATTGAAATTTAGTTGTCCTCAACGTGGTCTCATGTGACGTTTTCTTCTGCTGGCGAGGGAAATAATGCGTGTGGTTACACTCCGTTTTTTGCGTTGTTAGTCCAAACACAGTCGGAAGCTTTCGGTCTATTTAATGTTTACGAAGACGGCATCAGCTGGTGCGTATTGCGTAATAATAAGTTGAATTCAGTTTCCAATAACTTTTGAAATTTGGCTAGTTCCTCGCAAATATTTATATAAGGAAATGTAAACAAGTGTTAGACTCATTAATATTTATATGTATCCTATAAAAACAGTAATGTAACTTAGCAATATAATACAGGTTTTTTTTACTGCTAGACAGTAGGACATATCTAGTGTTTGAGGGTTTACGATACTACCCGGTTACCTAGCTAAATTAAGTCGAGTCAGACTTCAATGAACTAGGCACCAAATCCTTGAAGTTCATCTCCTAAAGTCAACGAAACAGAATAACGCATTGGACGGAGTTAGCTTTTTGTAAATCTTTATCGTTTCAGTAGTTAGGCCAACCAGATGATCGGTATTATTGATCATATTGTCATTTTCAAGAAAATACACCCATCTTTTTCATAGTCAGTCAATTTTAACGTGAGACTAATAGCTTCGAGCGACATACTTGTGAAATAAATCAGTTAACAAAAGACAATTGCACGAAGAAAGCTTTCTTTCGACGAATCATTTTCAAAAGCCGTACAATCGTAATCATAGTTACAACAAAATATATATCCATCAATAGCTAGTGGACCAATATAAAGTCATCAAAAACGATCAATAAGGTCACAAGTGAATAACAGCTAGAAGGTCAACTTAAGGTCATCGAAAACTGCGTATAGGATTATAATTAATAAACAAACAGCAAGCAAAGAAAGGAATAAAATGGCTTAGGGACATTACGATTAAGTTAAAATTAGAGATCGAATGTATCACTTGTGAATGCAAAGTTCAGGTGTGAACCGCTAGATCGCCAAAGCTTCCGCTGTTTTGAGGCAACAGATACGCACTCCCTTCTAAATGCTTGATTTCACTTTATAAATGACTTTAAAAGGGGATTCTTGTGAAGCAGTTACCCAAATACTCAAGAATCGAGCTGCTAATGGCTTTGTGCCCTCTTTTAGACAGCCATGGAGAAAAGTGTTCAGAGATGCGTTTGGATAGACCACGCTTTGTGGGGCCCGTGTAACTAGCTCCACGAGAGCGGGTGAAATGGCAAACACACATGGAGGTGGCCCAAAGCGGTAGTTCATCCTTTAAATACCCTCGAATCAGTCGTTGATGTGAGAAAACAATCCGAAGCTGGGCGGAAGTATTGAAGAAGACTGCTGATAACTCAAAAACTTTAAATAAAAGGGAATCATGCTTGTACTGTGATATACGATGAACGCTAATTCCCTGCTAGTTTAACTATAACCCAGTGTTAGTTGGTCTGAGACAATGAGGGCTTCCTGCCTCCAACCAACTAATATCCATCAAAGTGGTTCGTGATGGTGAACCTCCTAGCTTGGCGACCACATTGCAAAATTATCGATGGAATTCAGTCAAACTCAGGACCAGACGACACGAGATTCATTGCTCTCCAGTGACCGATCAATATATATAACTCAAAGTATAGAGTATTGTAGCAGATATCAGTGGCGCCAAACTACCCAAATGTGTCAAGTATGGTAGTTTATTTAGAATATATTCTGATAATTGATACCACACCACGGCTTGGTTATTGGTTGCATATAACCAGTGCTTCATTCCACCTAGATTTAAAACCTTTTGAGAAGCATGGTAACATACATTTGGACCTACTGGTTGTTATTCCTGGGAGATAATTTTCGACTCTATCGAAAAGGCCAGTGGATATCACTATTGGACTAGTCCTGATATGCGTAGCCGTCCTTCCCATTATACGCGTTGGCAGAGATGAACCCGTTGCACTGTTATCTAGGTTTGGTATTTTGTCAGCTAACATTGCCATGGATAGCGTTCGTATAATGGGGTCGTCGTACTGTTTTATGTTTACCAGTCGTCTACACTTTCGGGGTTATGAGTGACAGTGTCCTGTGATACGTCTCCCAATTATCCTTAGGCTCATCAAAAGTATAAATGTTCTTTAACATTTTTTCGCCTCACCAAGTGTATAAATCCGCATTTGGTAAAAAAAGCCTGTCAGTTCTCATATAGTGTAAACTCTACATGAACTGTGTTGTGGTTCGTGTCTAAACTTTGTACCCTTTTAGACCTAATTTGAATTAGATTAGACTTTCTCAATTTTCAATATTTATAATCAGTGTCAACCATTATTTAACACTGGATGTTTTTTGATTAGGTTCCTACGACTACCTCAAATGTGGACCTTCTAAGTGACTTTCTAGGAAATTCTGGATAACTCTAAATCAATAAACCTGCTATGATATAATTCTCTGCTTCATTCCTCGTCACTCTTTGAAATTAAAATTACTGTTTGTTCATAGTCTTTTTATTTGTGTTTAGACGTATGTCTTTCAGTTAATAGTTGATATATATAATTTGTACACTACTGCCTATGATAAATACTGACTTGAGGAAACTTATGATGTGATGTTATTGTTTGCATTTGTTTGACATAAATGTAAACTCCTAGATTACGAATGTATGTATATTTTTTTCCCTTCATGTTTCTTCAATCTTTGTTGAACTATCTACTTATCTTCGTAATCATTATGTTGTGCTAAACTTTATTCAAGATGAATTACATTTACCCACTTTCGTGATTATAATACTTTCCCTCAAGTTCACAGAAAATACCATACAATACTTGTACTTAACTAATATATATATATATATATATATATATATATATATATATATATATATATATATATATATATATATATATGCGCTGATATAGTAGGTATTACTGGTTTCTTTGTAAAGTCTAAATATTTGCTAGGGTTATCAAAATAAAGTTGGGATTTGATGGTTTGAAAAAAATTGGGCATATGCTGTGGTTCATATCTTCAATGTTTGGTTGCTTCTTTTGAAATTTTAATGTAGTCAGAACTAAATCACACTGCACATGGTTGGTTGTGCAAAGTCTCTTCAAAAAAGAAGCTAATAAGAGGATCGCAATATCATTCATTTAAGACAAGGATAAAAAGACGAGCCTTTACTTCTAAAATTCTCAGCTTCAGTTACTCAAATCACTTCGTAAAGACAAAAACCAGAGAGTCGTGTTTTCACAATGAAAATACTTTATTTTCCTTCAATTTTCACTGGCCTAGAACCCTAGACATGTGAATAAATAACCAACGTCCATATCGGTGTTATTCTATCTACCAAAATCGAATGTAAAACGAACAATGTTTGTTTTACTAAATGTCTAAATGGGAATTTTCGCATTACCAAAATCCAATGGTTAGGTCCTACTTTTTTTTCCTGACTCTTTCATCCGCAATGACGGCCAACGGAAGGATCCGGGGTTTAGATCAGTCACCACATGCCATAACTGCTCAACAACCCAAGTTGGCACCACTCATACGAGCGCATCAAGATTAAAGACGGAAATAGGAAGGATAGTAATCAAGAGTAATAGAAAGTCGTACAGAGAGAATAAGAAGTGAAACATTGATAAAATTCGGCATAACGACCAACAGTTTGTCCATGCGTGCCATTGCGATCGATTCTGAGCCATATCGCCAAGCGCCTCCAACCACCGAATTCAGTTGTCACACGGACTGCAACTGGGGAGCCTTTATTTCATTACGCGACTCAAACTAACAATCAGAAACTTTACTGACCTTTGCCATATTTTAGTTTAGGCGCTTCTAGTCTTGTACCAACTTCAGCCAACAAACTGCGATGAGCAGTTATGCATATCCCAGCGATCTGAGTCACTGAAGGTTCACAACTTCATCAACCGACTTCCATGTCCAAAACCCTATGCCGGACGTTTACATTCGTGACGTTGTGACACTGTTCAAGCTACAAAGGCAGAGATGATCGAAAACTTGGAGCTTCCTCATATCTTCTACTTTTAAATAGCAATGTTACACAGCTATGTATTGGAAGAGAGTGAATTGCAGTACACTTACTAGGCAATTGGTTATCACGGGGATGTCGAAAACCAAACGTGACTTCTGTATCCACGCGGGAATTTTATCGGTCACTTTCCCACTAGGGTTGATCTGGTTCCCATAGTAAGTGAGGCGGCCAACGCGCTCCTTTTTAACCGACGCTTACTGTAGGCAAGGCAGCATCATCATGGACTGCCGGTCATGCGTAGGAAACACCTTACTGCTGTCACCCAAACAACTTCACCTGCGAACCTTCGTCATAGCTTAGTAATTTAAAATATAACGGTTACAACTTCTTGTCCAACAAATATATAACAGACCTTCCAGCACGATAGGACCTCAAAGAGATACGTTTTCCTAACAGCCTAGCTCTTTGAGATGTGATTGTAAATTGAACTAAAATGGCGGAGTAGCGTGTTTCAAAATGTTAAAAACTCGAAAGAGCAGCTGGTCAGTAACGCACCTTCATGAATGGATGTAAGCGCTCGGATTAGGATCCGAAGAGTTTTATTGGCAGAGTATGAAGTTTCATGTTTGGAATCTAGGAGTTTTGTTGAACAATTGTACAATGACCTTAATGCTTTACAAAATGGTTTTCAATAGGTTTGTCTTGTATTTATGCAAGATAATCGCTCTCCAATATGGTGAACGTTCCTGGTAATAAAATTAGAAACAGAGAACCGATATGTTAAAGTTTTTGCTTGTTACTCACGTAATACGTTGCAGGACATATTTAGTTTCTCACAAAATCGTCTACATTGTAAGATACATCGAAGATATTCGCAGTTGTCTCCGCGTCAAAAATACTTCGCAGGAGCTATACTATAAGTAAACTCACGTAGTTTTAATGATGATGCATTACTATCCAGTTACGTTTTGTTACTCGAATAGTAGAAAACGGACTGATACAGGCAGTTGCAACAGCCAACCAGGGTTAGTAGTTCGATTAGGAGTATGCAGGAAAATGTGCTACCACCCATGCTTCAATTATTGGTATCGGAAATGCATATTTTCAAGTAGACAAAATCAATGACAAGTGAATAACCCTCAGTAACCATCCCCAAGATAACCTCACGTAGTTAACTACTTACTAGCCGGTCCTAAGCCCGGGTAAAGAGGAAAGATTGGGTGCAGGGCTAGCAACCCTACCCAGTAAAGCCAATCTAATAACTAAAAATACTTCAAAGCACAAGGAAAATATTAAAAATAAAATAAACTTATTCCTCGCTGGAATCGGAGAGGCGAAATGACGCCACTTGGTGAAAGCCTTCGGGAAGCCAGTCGGCCGATGTGTCCAATCTCGATGAAAGCGAAAGTCAGCGCGGGGACATGGAACGCCCGCATCAAGTATGAACCTACCAAGGATGCTCACATTACAAAGATATGAGAAAGTATGGCATGGAAGTGCTTGGAATCTGCAGATGAAATGAAAGTGGGCTCTCAACTGTCGGTAATCTACTCCGATATCGTCACCCAGACGACAACCACGAGCACACTCAGGGAGTGGCTATCATGATTTCTCCAAGAACACCGAAGGCTTTCATGCAGTGGGAACCAGTCTCCTCCAGGATCATGACAGCAAGGAGAGCCACAACCATTCAGTGCTACGCGCCAACAAATAATGCGGATCAAGAGAAGGAGGAATTCTATAGACAACCGCAATCAGTACTAGACAAGACTCCAGTTGGCGACATCAAAATTCTAATGGGCGACATGGATGCCAAACTGGGAGCAGACAACACAGGAAGAGAACTCATCATGGGTCGAGAAGCACCCGGAGAAATGAATGACAACGGAGAACTGTTTGCAGATTTCTGCGCATTCATGATTGGAGGCAATGTGTACAAATACAAGAATATTCACAAAGCGACATGGATTTCACCAGACACCAGGACACACTAAAAATCAGATCAACTTCGTCTCACTGTGAAGAAAATGGAGATGCAGCCTACTGGACACAAGATGAAGAAGGGGATCAGACGTAGGTCCAGACCATTATCTAGTGTAAGGAACCTTCCAAATGAAGTTGAAAGCCTTCAAAGAAGTTGGTGATAGACCACAGTTCAAGTTCAAAACCCAGAACAGAAACTGGAGGACGAAACTACAAAGGACATCTTCACGTCAGCTATCAGAACAAAATGGGAGACATTGAGCAACATCCCTGGAGGATCGGACGTGGAAGAACACTGGAACTCTTTGAAAGAGATGTGGACAGCAGCCTGCATAACCGTATTGGGGAGGAAGAGGAAACAAGACAAGGAATGGAGTGGATCTCCACGATCACATGGAAGCTCATAGAAGGGAGGAAGATGGTGAAGCAGAAGATGAACCAGTGCAAGGATGCACAACGAGAAGAAGAACTGAGTACAACCTATAAAACACTAGACAAAGAAGTGAAGAAGAGTGCGCACAAAGATAAAAGACACTTCTACGACACACTTGCAAGTGAAGCAGAACAGGCTGCATGTAGGAGAGACCTGACACCATTGTATCAAATAACCAGGTTACTAAATGGAAGGGAAGAGATCAAAACAGATGAAACCAATAAAAGATGATGAATAAAATCTAATTACCAAAGAGGAGAAACAGTGGGCTGGTCACTTCAAAAAACTATTGAATTGACCATCACCAGCAACTCGTCCAGATATACCACCAACAGACCAGTCACAGTTAGCCTGAACCCTCCGACAAAATCAGAAGTGACGTCCTGAAAGCCGGAAAAGCAACGGGACCAGATGGAATCCCACCAGATGCACTGAAAGCATACTCAGAGACAACAGTGGACACACCCACATCACTACTGCAGGAGGTTTGGAAGGAAGGAAAGGTACCTGACGATTGGAAGAAGGGCTACCTCGTCAAACTCCCAAAGAAGGGAGACCTTAGTCTTTGCAAGAACTGGCGCGGAATCATGCTCCTGTATCTGTCCACCCCAAGTAAAATATTAAACCGCATCATCCTGCAGAGACTAAAGGATACGCTGGATTCAAAACTACGACCAGAACAGGCTGGATTCAGGAAGTAAAAATCATGTGCGGATCAAATTGCGATGCCACGCATCATTATAGAAGAGAGCATATAATGACAGTCAACTCTCTACCTCAACTTCATTGACTTTGAAAAAGCCTTCGATAGCGTGGACCGATAAGTAATTTGGCCGGCTGCTGCTACAACACTATGGAGTACCACAAACTTTTATCAACCTCATTCTGCAGCTTTATGTAAAGACCACATGCCAGGTGATCCACAATGGAAAGCTCAGTGACGCCTTTGGAGTAAGACGAGGCCTACTACTATCACCGTGATCTTCCTGATTGTGGTGGACTGGATCATGCAGCAAACAGTGAGAAGTGAGATGGGCATGCGATGGACTGATGAAAAGAGACTAGAAGATTTGGATTTCGCAGATGATTTATGTTTAATGTCGCACAAACTCGAAGATCTACAGGCGAAAACTAACAAGTTGACAGAAAAGGCAGCCAAGACGGGAGGGACTTCAAGTGAATGTAGAGAAGACGGAGGTGATGAAGATACCCAACCAACAACAAGCACCAATCACCACTAACGGGAGAGACCTAAAGGAAGTAGTCTCTTCCATTTACCTAGGCAGCGTCGTCTCAACTGCAGGCGGCACAGACGAGGATGTCAAAACCAGGATCGGAAAAGCCAGACAGGCTTTCATCAATCTGAAATCAATGTGGTGATTTACTGAACTGAACTGCACTCAGTATAAAACATGAACATCCGGATTTTCAACGCTAATTCAGTCAAGTAAGTCAGTGCTTCTATGCGATGGTTGAGAGACTTGGCGCATTACAAAAAGCATTTCTAACAAGCTACAGACATTCGTCAACAGCTGCGGCCTCCGCTCACTCGATACTGAAGATCAGATGGCCAGAAAGAATAAGCAACAAGAAACTCTGGCCGGCAACTAACCAACCAAGAACCCATCACTCAATAAATATGTAGAAGAAAGTGGAGATGGATTGGGCATGCACTGAGATCATTCGGGGTCATCACGCGCCAGGCCCTCGAGTGGAATCCAAAGGGGAAACAACGAGTTGGACGTACGAGGGTGACATGGAGTGGATGGTATGCGGAAGGAATGAAATGTTATGGGCAGTCGTGGTGACAGGTTGAAAAGACTGCAGTGAACAGAGTGCAATGGAGACGTGCTACTGAAGCCCTATGTAGCACTAGGAACCCAGGATCAATATAGGACGAGGGTTTACTGTGTGACGGTCCAAGCTGCTACACCCCATATTAGCACATCGAATAACATGATGGTAAAATAGAAGATGAAGAAAGAAAGGAAAATCGGTCGAAAGTAGTAAAGAGAAGGAGTGAGACAAGGAGATCGAGTATGGCCATCAGGAAGACAATGTCTGTATACATCTGGGCCAGTGACATTGGTTCTGAGTCTCCAACCACTGGTTTCACTTGTCCTGCAGATGCCAACCGGCTGGTCTGCGTCGCTGTACACGGCTCAAACGAACAGACGAGAACTTCACGCATTGGTATCATGTCTCACTCTGGCCATTCCGAGCTTTTTTCCAGCCTGAACGTACTTGGACCAACATCGTGCGACGAGGCAGATGGTGGTTAAGCATACGTAACGCATGTCCCAGCCACTCCAGTCGATGAATGTTCGCAACCTCACCAGCTGTTTCGCTTCTTCTGCCTAAAACTTCGCACCTGACTTCTGCGTTACTCATGTGGTGGTGAAACCACGAAACACGGCCTATGCTACGAATGTCACAGTGGTCAAACAGCTTAAGCCTTTTTCATGTCTCCTACCTCTAATGGCCGTGTTTCACAGCTATACAGTAGAATACAGAGGACTGCAGCACAGTGCACTCAATCCTTAATATACAATCGCATATCGAGGCGGCACCACAGATGGCGTAAGTTAGCAAAAGCCAACCGAGCCTTCTGTATTCGTGCAGAGATTTCGTCGGTCACTGACCAAGGCTGATCTGACTTCCCAGGTAAGTGAAGTGATCAACTCGTTCAACCACTTCACTCTCTATTGTTAGCTGGGGCATCGTTGACGCCCAGTACTGAAGCAACTATCTGCACTTGGTTGGCGAGAAACGCATCTCGAATATTTCCAAATTGACACTCGAAGTGTCCAGAAAACTGCATCTTGCCAATGTCTTCGCCTAACAGGACTATGTCATCTGCGTATTCCAGATATACCAAAAACTCTTCCATGATTAGGTCAGTCCTTGTGTTGTCAGATATCGAGAGGAAAACCCGCAGAACATGTGGTAAAATTGAATAACAATGGAGAGAGTGATCATCCTTGACGGACACAGCCCACTCAATATCTCATCGTAGGCTTCAACAGGCTCACAGGTGTTAGAGTAGAGTCTTCAACAAGGTGATGTACTAATTTGGTACCCCTTTCAATGAGACACTACCATAAGACTTCTTGATTGATGGAATCGAATGCCGACTTCACATCGAGAAATACAGCTACTGCTGGGGCTCGGTAGGCGGGCCTGTCCTAGAACCTGGCGGTGTGAATATTTGGTCGATACACCCATGGACGGGTCCTAAGCCTACCTGGTTCCCTCGGGTTCGCTGCTCCCGCGCTCCACCCAAGCTTCTAATGATTATAGGACCTATAATCTTGGACACTATGTTTGTCAGGCTGACTCCTTTGTGATTATCTTAAGAGGACTTCTCGACTTTCTTGAATACTAGAATAATCAGTAGTTGAGACCAGTCAAAAGGGGTCAAATCTGTCTCCCATACACTAGTTAACACTTCAGTTACCTTGACAAGAAACACTACCATTGTCTTTATATTCCTCAGGAACTGGTTCCGCTTGCCTTCCTCGTTTCAAGTTACTTACCACTTTCTTGATTTCTGCTTGTGTTGAGAGGCTTATCATCCAGCATCCGGTTGTATAGCGGGAAATGCAATAGTAGCTGGAGGCCAGTTGAGCTATTTCTCGAAATCTTCTGCCCATCACTTTCCATGCGAGTGAGTCACAGACTCGTCCATCCGGACTATAACCTTACTAACCGTTGAATTTTTCGTCCGTTTTTATTAAATCTAAATAATTGTCTGCTGTTACCTACCACCGCTGCCTTTTCCATCTCATTAGTCTTCGTTATCACTGTTCACAGTCACTGAGTAGACTTTTCGTCGGTCCACTTTTGAGTTGGGTTCGCTGCTCGTTGTACTCAAAGACTGCAAGGGCGCATTCGCGTGCATCCAATAGTTATCAGCGCAGAGTCTAAGGGATATCTACTTGAAGTCGGTCATCTATGGCCTCTTTGGTGCTATGACTACTGGCCTGTATTATAGAAGATGCAGTCGGACAGACATCCTGTAGTTTTGGACTACGACTAACCACTGATGACTGACCTAGGCCATCATTTCTTTGTTTATGAACATGTTAAGGGTGACTGCTTTTTGTCTAACCACTATCCAACAAACCTTTTTGGTATGGTAGGACCTCGAGTGAACAAGCTTCCCACCATCATAGATCGCTGAGTCGTGATATGTAAGCCCCACCACCACGTCAAGGTAGCAGTTATCGGTCAGGACTTACAGCAGTTAACAGCATTGCTCATAAGCTGGCGCCTGCGCATGGACATAGCTCTTTAACTTTACACTGATGCAGCTGGTCGGGTGCAAATTTATTTGGCAGCCACCTAACTTTTTTAGTGGGAATTATCACTAGTAAAAATACTATTATTATCATGGATGTACGCTGATGATGAGTCTCAGACTAGGACGAGACAGATTTCAAGTACCCTCAGGTTTTCTAGTGTTTCTTCGACTGATGTCAATCCATGAATATCGACTTGAAATCAATAAATGAGTCCCCACAAACCTCCGAACTCAATATAACCAAGTACTCATTGGTGACCAGCTTCGAGAGGTGGTTCCCGAAGTCCCAATGAGATATCATGACCGGTGGGGCTTGCCAAGTCGAACATTTACTAGACGGCGGCGTTGGATAGAGGTGGCGCTATACCGTCAACGGAAGTAGGAAATATGGACCACTGGATGCCGTCCCAGCGGCCCATTATTAAGTACTGGCTGCAGAACCTAAAGGTCCTGGGTTCGATCTCTAGAGCAGACGTAGATGCGCACTGATGACAAGTCCCATACTAGGACGAAACAGCTATCCTGTGATGCCACGTCTTTGGTGCTACTCCAAATGATGTCAGCTTATGGTGAATACTAACATGGAATCAATCAATAAATCCCCACAAACCTTCAAATTGTACTCTCATCTAGCTTTCAAAAGGGCTGCGTCAGTAGCGAAAGGGTCACAAAAGTGTGGTTTCATCGAAATCGAGGATTTGAGTCGTGGTAAACGGACTGCTAGTCGAAACCCGTGGACTACCCTTGATCGGAGATAGTGGAGTACACATCTGAGGCATGATTTGAAAAGTGCATCCTTGTTATAAAAATTGGCGACTTGTAGCTTTGAGCATCCACTCGTTGGTGAGCATAAAAGCTGAACCACCTCCCCCGATTCTGAAATAAGACTGAGCAGCGTAGAACGGTAAGTGCTCATCGATCCCAGCTGCGAAACTATAAGCAAGCGGATAATTTAAGGAGTCTGCGGTTATACACTAATACCAACCGATTAAGTGATGAAATTCGGTATGACGATCATGTTTGCGTTGTCTTGGTTGTTACACCGATTTTCTCCAATGTTACATTCTTTGTTCTCTCTGTACGACTTTCTATTACTCTTGATTACTATCCTTCCTATTTCCGTCTTTAATCTTGATGCGCTCGTATGAGTGGTGCCAACTTGGGTTGTTGAGCAGTTATGGCATGTGGTGACTGATCTAAACCCCGGATCCTTCCGTTGGCCGTCATTGCGGATGAAAGAGTCAGGAAAAAAAAGTAGGACCTAACCATTGGATTTTGGTAATGCGAAAATTCCCATTTAGACATTTAGTAAAACAAACATTGTTCGTTTTACATTCGATTTTGGTAGATAGAATAACACCGATATGGACGTTGGTTATTTATTCACATGTCTAGGGTTCTAGGCCAGTGAAAATTGAAGGAAAATAAAGTATTTTCATTGTGAAAACACGACTCTCTGGTTTTTGTCTTTACGAAGTGATTTGAGTAACTGAAGCTAAGAATAAAATTGTATCAAGTTTGGGGTTGAATTGGTCGCCCGTTTGTTACAACTGTTGAATGACTACGAATGTCAGAAACAACTTTCAGTCCGAATTACTAAACGCGATTATTTTAGAGACTTAGATCCTCTACTCTTGGTTCAAGTGACTAGTTTGATCGCACCTTGAATGCTTGTGTTTATGAATGAATGAAGACTTTGAAAAACTCATATGTAGGGTACAGAAATTAATTGTGTGAAAACAAATATATTCAGGTAAACTCATAAAGGCATACAGTTATCCCTTAAGAGAACTCAGTCCAGCACGCATAATTTCATCAACTAGCAATAGATTGCTTGCGATAACGGAACTGGAAAAGGAATAAATAAGTAGAGGCTTCTGTATACATGATGAAATGAGTGAATTCAAAGACAAAATAGATTCAATGACGGGATAACATAAAAGTATATCTACGGTTCACGTTGCAACTGATGTTAAACACCATACATTAGTTAGATAACGGTTAGATGAAAAATAGCTTCGGTTGTAATTTCATATGAAACATTATAATGGGGACTGAAGTGTTCTACCCATCATTCTAGTCGTCTTTCCTTCGGCATGGTGCCACGATCCATCAACTTTTATGTAGGAAAGGAAGAGCTAACTACGCATTAGATTGTTTTTTATACATAACAGTGATAGCGTTATTTACTGGGTGGCAGTTCAACTAGAAATTTGTTGCTCATACTTATTATCGAAGTAATCATACGGCTTTGCAACTTTACCAGTGTAGTACAAGTTCTTTATTCTCTTATATTAATGGTAGTGAAGATTTCGAGATGTCTGCAAAATGCGATGACTCATCCCCGTTACGTGTAATAGGGGTTGACTCAATGAACAAGGGGTTCTATAACTGACCTCTCTCCACCCAAACAAACTGAATTTCAGAAATGACAACCTACCTCACTTTATAATCATCATAGGTCATTGAATGCTAGGCGATAGCCATTTAATTCTAACTTACTCATCTTAGCAAGGTCTATCATCTTATTTTTCGCCAAATTTTTGTGCTCCGTTATTTTGACTAACCTCAGCTGTCTGTTTTAACCCACATATTTCACTTCACAATCACCGCATGGTATTTGATAGGATAAATTATTTCGTTTAATTGGCTTTACTGGATTTCGCAGCCTACCAAGTTTCTTTCAGTGAGCTTGTGGGTATAAATGCAACTTAAATCCCAGCACTGTTAAAAATGTCGCATAGATTTTTCGATATGCTTTCATTATATAGCACTAAAGAGGATTTAAATTTCCACGAGCATGTTTGGTCCACTGGCATTACTGCACTTTTTTTGATAAACCTTTTTATAAATTGCGGAGAGTAGTAATTAAGTGGTGGTCTCCAAACACTAGGGGGGCTTGATAAAATGTTTTAGTAATTGAGCTAGGAGTGTGATTAGTAAGTCGAAAAATATAACCAAGGAACTGAAACACATGGATGAGCTTAATCATTCTGTCGAAGCAGCAGAAGTGTTTGCTTATTAAATGTGGTCACTATCCCACTTCTTTAACTTAGAACTGGTTACTGAGTTGCATGATTTACTCACTCATATGAATCAAACAACTAGTCGGCAAGTTAGCTGTCGATCTTTGACCAAACCTCCGTATTACCAAGGGGGAAACTTATAAAGAGGTGATAATCAGCTGTTAGAGTACGATATTTTATGGACATCAGACTTTACTTTTCAAATCTGTACTATCCGATTACCAGAGAGAAAAAATTCCACGAAAATAGACTTACCATGAGCTGATTATTTGCTTTTTAACAATGAAGTTGTCGTACACTCCAACCTGAGCAGGGATCATTGCCTCCCCGGTAGTTAAATCAAGACCAACAAGTTCTGCAGGTGAGATACCTTGACAACGACTGTCCACCTTTGCTGCTTCTTCTAGCAATTTTACCATAGTTTCTTGAGCATCGTGACCAGAATTCCTAGCCAAGACCTTTGGAATAACAAGGAGAGCATCCGCGAACGCCTGAACACCAAGACGAGCACGACCCTTTACTGTTTGTGCGAACTTGTTAAGTTCACGATGTGCAACTAGTTCAAACGCTCCTGCGCCTGGGACAACGCACTCTGAAAGTTATTTAATTTGGAAACACTTGAAGATGTAATACTAGTGTATACAAAGAATATTGTCTGACGTATGTGACAAAAATGACGCTGAAGCAAGAAAAGCTTATCCCAGAAGTGAGCCTTGATTCATGTCAATTTATGCACTACAAAAATGGTGCCGAATATTTGATGTCAAAAAAAAATTGGGAAAATTCTATACGTCTGATAAAACTAGTTTTAAAGGTATACTTAGAGATGGATAATGCAGATAGATTACAAAGTTACTGTAACTCAATCGGGTGTAACCTCGCTTCATATCACACTAGCATCGATGGTATTTAGTGGGAATACCTTCGGATAGTGACTAGGACCAACTAAACAACTTCGGAGTCAGTATACTAACTTTGCTGGGAAAGAATGACTTGACTTTAACACTTTATAGCACAAACCTAGCGCATAGGTGTAAACAGTTCACCATATCATTTTAAATGAACACTCAGTTTTCAACAAGTGCATCCACTAAATCAAGCACATTATGGCGAATACAATTATCTGTTTACATACCATCTTCCAATGTATTTTTAATAGCTCGAAGACCATCATTTACAGCATCTTTGATTTGATCAAGAGTATGTTTGTTGGGTCCTCGCATCAACAAGGTCACTGACTGAGGATTCTTGCACTCCTCGATGAATGTGTATTTCTCCTCCCCCTGAAAAGACATTTAACCAATAATTAAAGCATACCAAGACAAATTCATAAACCGAACCGGCATGACCAAGGCAGTTTGGCGTGATTTCGTCAACTGAATTCAAAGCATATCCACCACAAGCAAGAGTAACCCTCTCCATGTTACGCCTTTTAGCACGACGAAGAGCAAGTATTCCTTCTCTAGCAAAAGCGTCTAACGAATAAGGGTCAATTCCTTTCTGGTTGATGATTACGAAACCCGGCTTTGTGTCTCCACTGCCTGCTTCGTCACATACTTTCTTCTTCAATTCAATCACCTTTTGTACTCTCATATCGATGAAGTCACGCTCGGATTTAACAAGAGCTGCTCTTTCTTCTGCCGTTTTGTAAAAGAACCCTGAATTTACCTCACTAACTATTATTAATTAGTTAGATAAACTTACGTCTTCTCGTACTCGAAAGACACATTACAAGTCAATATAAATGCATTTGACACACGCTTTGGCATATCTGGGTGCCTACCACCGTGATCCAACACCAATCCCTTGACAAGTGTTGAGTCCATATCAGTTTTATGCTGCATCTGCATCAGTTCAATGCGATGTAGATCCAAAGGTTCGTTCGGAGTACGAATTGATAGTACTGCATCTACAACGTGCTACACAGTTGCCAAAATTGTAATAAGTTACCTCGGTTAAAAGATTGGCCAGGTCAGAATGCACTTTCGTATTCAGCGATGTTCCTGCTACAGCTATCAGTATACCTCTGTCCGGCATCTCTGATGAACAGTCGATCTGGCACTTCAGTAATATTTCCAAACACTTGTTGCTAGCCATATCATAACCTTCCGTTATAAGACGTGGGTGAAGTCCTTCAGAAGTATGCACATCGGCCTGCTTGAGCAATTCGGCAATCAAGATGACATTTGATGTTGTGCCATCACCTGTCGTATCATCTTGAGCAGTTGCTGCTCGCGCTATGAGACTTGCAGTAGGGTGTTGAATTTGCATTTCATGAAGAAGAACATTACCGTCCTTAGTTATTTTAATTTCACCAGCACCTGATACAAGCCTAAAAAATGTTTATACTTAACTCCGGCTTACATTTTCATTGTTCCCTTAGGCCCAAGATTAGTCTTCAAGACATCGTACAGTCCTCTAGCTGCAGCTAAATTGATGCTAAATGCATGTTGTGACTTCGCAAACTCCGCTTTAGGATTCAAAATGGAAATGGAAGCCATCGTCCAATTACCACGCTATGTTTCGAAAGATCTACACGCTAGCAACCAAGGTTAAGGAAGCCTCTAGAACCAATATTGAACAAAGTAACAGTGGAGAACTGGAATGTATCTCCAGAATTAGCGGCTGAGTTAACTCACTTAAGTACGGACATCTAAGTTTTTGAGAATCAACATAAGCTTCACTTATGTCCTGAAAGCAGTATGTCACTTCCCTTCATTTTGAAAAAGAAAATTACCATTTCGTGGTTAAAAACCAATACCTTTGTATTTTCTCTTTCATCTTCAAGTTCCTACAGTATATAAACAAAATAAATTTATCAGTCATGTACCGGAAAGATACATTAAGGAGCGCTGGTTTGCGGTCGAAACAAAGATTTAGCTGCAGTTTAGTGTTGGAGACAGCGTAAATGTGACCTTTAGTAAAATCACCTCCTCACCGGAGGTAAACTGGAGAGATGAAGAGCCCAGATTACGTTGGACATGGCTTTGCAGCAGGACAAAGTTGGTGAAAGTTTCATATCTTTTTTCGTCATTCCCAATATCAGTTAAGTACCAGTAGAATTCAAGATATTCTTTCTTGAATTTAGAGATGACTATGAGCTGCGAAGGAGACCTAGTTACCAAGAAACAGAGGGGATGATGGACTGACTACTTCAAAAGCCTCTTGAATCGACCACCACCAGCAACTCGTCCAGAAATAGCAGCGGCAACCGTAGAACCACCAGTGAACACAGGCCCCCCGACAAAAGCAGAAGTGACGTCCTGAAAGCCGGAAAAGCAACGGGACCAGATGGAATCCCACCAGATGCACTGAAAGCATACTCAGAGACAACAGTGGACACACCCACATCACTACTGCAGGAGGTTTGGAAGGAAGGAAAGGTACCTGACGATTGGAAGAAGGGCTACCTCGTCAAACTCCCAAAGAAGGGAGACCTTAGTCTTTGCAAGAACTGGCGCGGAATCATGCTCCTGTATCTGTCCACCCCAAGTAAAATATTAAACCGCATCATCCTGCAGAGACTAAAGGATACGCTGGATTCAAAACTACGACCAGAACAGGCTGGATTCAGGAAGTAAAAATCATGTGCGGATCAAATTGCGATGCCACGCATCATTATAGAAGAGAGCATATAATGACAGTCAACTCTCTACCTCAACTTCATTGACTTTGAAAAAGCCTTCGATAGCGTGGACCGATAAGTAATTTGGCCGGCTGCTGCTACAACACTATGGAGTACCACAAACTTTTATCAACCTCATTCTGCAGCTTTATGTAAAGACCACATGCCAGGTGATCCACAATGGAAAGCTCAGTGACGCCTTTGGAGTAAGACGAGGCCTACTACTATCACCGTGATCTTCCTGATTGTGGTGGACTGGATCATGCAGCAAACAGTGAGAAGTGAGATGGGCATGCGATGGACTGATGAAAAGAGACTAGAAGATTTGGATTTCGCAGATGATTTATGTTTAATGTCGCACAAACTCGAAGATCTACAGGCGAAAACTAACAAGTTGACAGAAAAGGCAGCCAAGACGGGAGGGACTTCAAGTGAATGTAGAGAAGACGGAGGTGATGAAGATACCCAACCAACAACAAGCACCAATCACCACTAACGGGAGAGACCTAAAGGAAGTAGTCTCTTCCATTTACCTAGGCAGCGTCGTCTCAACTGCAGGCGGCACAGACGAGGATGTCAAAACCAGGATCGGAAAAGCCAGACAGGCTTTCATCAATCTGAAATCAATGTGGTGATTTACTGAACTGAACTGCACTCAGTATAAAACATGAACATCCGGATTTTCAACGCTAATTCAGTCAAGTAAGTCAGTGCTTCTATGCGATGGTTGAGAGACTTGGCGCATTACAAAAAGCATTTCTAACAAGCTACAGACATTCGTCAACAGCTGCGGCCTCCGCTCACTCGATACTGAAGATCAGATGGCCAGAAAGAATAAGCAACAAGAAACTCTGGCCGGCAACTAACCAACCAAGAACCCATCACTCAATAAATATGTAGAAGAAAGTGGAGATGGATTGGGCATGCACTGAGATCATTCGGGGTCATCACGCGCCAGGCCCTCGAGTGGAATCCAAAGGGGAAACAACGAGTTGGACGTACGAGGGTGACATGGAGTGGATGGTATGCGGAAGGAATGAAATGTTATGGGCAGTCGTGGTGACAGGTTGAAAAGACTGCAGTGAACAGAGTGCAATGGAGACGTGCTACTGAAGCCCTATGTAGCACTAGGAACGAAAGGAACGAACAATGATAGTGATAATGGCAAACTGCGAAGGCTGTATATGGATTGATAGATGAGTGCTCTCGCAATAAGTGAACACTGATGTGTTTGTTCAGAAAATGGTCACCGGAGATAGGCTTGAATAACACCATAGCCGCAAACGACGTAGCTTCCATGTGATTAGCTTGGCCCCACCAATAGTTATCGGAGAAAGCGTTTTAAGAATCTTTTTGAACGTCGACGGTTGTTATCACAATAAATACTCATGTCTATTCATCTTCTTGTGGGGCTTTGCAGGCCTCACATGAGGACGTGCCGTAGGCGGCATGGTGATAGCGAACTTGACCTCATTTTACCTTTAGATTCCCTCTAGCCGTCCAGCGGTTAAAATACGAAGCGAACGCTTTTGAACAGGGAAACAAGGTACGGACACAGTTTGGAGAGATTTTCCTTCAGATTCTATGATAAATGACCAGATGACACAAGTCTATTAATACTTTCTGGTTGAACGTTAAGTGATTTCATATTCACACATCACAACCAGGCTAATCGTCAAGGCGTCATTTGTCCCCTACGGCCTTACTTTTACCTAATGGTTAGCCAACACTGCACTAGGTGGGAGTTCAAGAGCCGGGGCCAGACTAATCATGCTTTGGAGTCCTCTATACACGCCGTCTTCTGAACCAACGCAACTTGACCCAGCAGTGCGTGGTTCAAATAACGCCCTGAAATGAAGACTGGGTCAGAAAAGCCCTTAAGTTCGGAAAGGTTAACGGACCATTGCACTTGTGAGAAGTGAAAGTCACGGTCACGTAAACAGTAGGCGTTCAATATGCAGGTTCAAAAGGGAGCCCTAGTGAGAAGAAATATGGTTCACGCCCCAGTGGGGCGGATGTTTTCCCAGATTTATCCGAAAAAAGCCTCCAACGGGGTGACGCCATTCTCTTAAGTATGGGGTTGAACCAGAAAGGCACACATGCCGATTTTTGAATACAAAAGCTTTTAGAACAAGGGTTGAATTTATTGAGGGCGACTGGGGCGACATCTGTCACATCCCAAGGCATGTTTGGTGCGATTGTTTCGCTTACCACCCCCATCTAACACTGAAGAACCTATAGAGCAGAAAGGGTGTGAGTCTAAATTCATCTCCGGGTGTTAACATGTTCGTCATGCACTATCGTATTTTGTGTGAAAATAAGTGCTTTCCGTATCCTTAATGCACATCTCACTTATGTGTATGGTTTTGAAATATCATCTATCGTCCTATCACACATTTATTCCCATTCAGAGCGTTGGCTGCACTCTCGCTTCATGAGTAGAAAGTAATTGCGGTCATTTGCCAATAATGATGCCCACAAATCAAAGAGAGCGGACCTAAGCTTCGAACTGCGGTAAAGGATAAGATTGCGGGTTTCATGTCAATCCATAGACGGATTATAGATTGCCAGAGGCTCCAAATAAAGTATCTATGGTGAGTTGCAGACATATCACCTTTTATCCTTCCCGAGGTGCACGTAAGAACTGATAAGCAGAAAGAAATAAGTCCTCGGGTTACTTGGAAGGAGGTTGTTAATCATTGAAGTAGGTAAGGTGAAATGATTGAGGATAGGTTAAGTCAGTGAGGATTTGCACTGGTAACGTTTCCACACGAAAGCCATGAAACACGTGATATATGCGTAACAAACATGTCTGCCCGTAACGTGGTTTTTGCTCTTGCATTTTAATGAGATTTTAACGGAGTAGCCAAAACCCAAGAATTGCTATGATGGGTTTAGTTAGAGTGAGTTATGGAGACCTCCAGTTTTAGTAATGCTGATGCAACGTCCAGTAAATAGTAGCAGAAACTGATGCCGTTTAATTGTCACGTCCATGTTAGTAGTCCATGAAGGTGGTTACGACTCACTGCGGTTCAGCTCACCAAATACCACTGTGTTTGCCGAAGGACTGCCATGTTCTTTCACAGAGGTGGTTGGCCGCAATAAAGTGGAATGTACATTGCGTTTCAGAAGCACTTTTTCCCTTTGACCTAAATAGGAAGGTTAATCAGCACGCGGCACCTAAGGAGTTGTACAGCTGAGTTCCCAGTGGAGCGGTAACACCCAACTGGTGCTATCATGAGATGGAAGTCAGCACCTGATGACTGATCATCAGTCGTTGACACGACAGTTCACCACACGTCTCTGGATAAGCATATTCATCCGCTTCATGCTTATTGCTACTGTGAGAAACCAGATATTGTCCGCTTAGACGGATGATCCCATCCTCTAGTCTGCAAACTGATGGGTTGGGAGTCTGGGTGCAAAAACGAATTTCCGATAAGCAGCTAAAAGCTGTGCATGTAATGATTTCGTGTGCACTTCTTTCTATCACCACTAATAATCCCACCTTGTCAAGCAACATCAATTCAAGCCAATCACTTCTATACCGTCTTTCAGCATCATAAAGTATATGGTGCGTACTAATGTATGCATCTCTAGGAATAAGAGCCTCAAGAAGATGTACCTTCTTATTCCAACGATTAGCTACTAGTACTCATTGTCACGTACGCCGGATCAATATCATTCACAGTTTCACAGCCAACGTGTTAACAACCGCGAGCCGCACATTATACATAGTGAGTCAAAAATGCAGATGAACTATAGGTCAATATACCGTTCGACGTAGCAGGTGAGGACGTTTAGAACACATCGGTCTTACGGCTGTGGATCTAATCAAAAGGCTCTGGATACTCCAGCCTCTGAAGACAAGTCGGAGTGACTGAGCCATTGAAGTTTAGACCTATGTTTTGGAAAATGTTGCGGAAACG